TACCTTTTATTTGCAGAATGAAAAATCTCCTATTTAACGGGTTAAAATAGTTTACCCATTAATATAAATTACGTATTTGGCTCACGCTCATATTTTCAACAATCCCCTTTGACCTTGGAAACATAAAATAAAACTCATTTGTATAATATCTAGTGTTGATTTATTATATCTTAAAACATAGTATAAAATACAAGTACTGTACATGTAAGATGCTTTCAACACAGTTGTAGTACATTAACCATTACAATTTCCACCCCTAAAATCTCACTAGTAATCCTCCTTACCATAGGCAATACAATTCTTTTGAGGTTGGTTCAACCAATAATTATTTGTTATTTGATTGAATAATAAATATTCTATGAGTGTGCATTGGATATGAGATGATAGATAGCCAACAAGGCGTGTAGCGCTGAGTTGGCTATAATCATCTCATATCCAACAAGCGCGAGTGGAATAATTGTTTTATTAAAAAAAAACAAAAAAAAAAACACCCCCAAGACATTAGACAAATCTTCTCGACTTTATTTTGTTAGAAGAAACTGGATGTTACAATGTACAGGTATTAGATTATGGTATATTGGCTCATATACAATAATGGCTAAGCCAATAAAAAGTCTTGAATTGCATTATCCAATGATCCAGTTTTTAATAATAATTGATTGGTATTTTTGGCTATTCTCATGACTTGTCTGCTTGATATTGTATTGATACTGTAAGCATAAATCCAGTCTTGGTCACCAATGGGAGTTAAAGGGTAAGTTACATGTATATAATTTACAAATTATCAAAGCAAAGGGTAATAAGGCAGGATAAAAAGGAAGAAGAAGGCAGTGTAGTAAACTTTAAGGGTTGCAGGGTGGGAAGCTTAGCTGACGGCTAGAGAAAGTGGAAAGGTAGGGGAGTATTGACATCTGGATAGAGAGCACAGCTTCACCTAAAAGACTCTGCAGTTAATAATAAGTGGTGACTACCATTCTGTATGGCTCTACTAGTCTAATGTTCTGGATTTTAAGCTTATTCAGGCTGGGAATATATCATCCACTCTTTCTGTTTCTTATTTATTTTTATCAGAACCTTCCTTCGCTCACACTGATGTTGTTGTTTGCTATGCTCAGGTAACTCGTTTTTATTTTCCTTGCCCTCCAAACGTCCAGCATACACCAGCTAAGCACGAACCAAATCTCAAAGAAATACAAACAGCCAAACAACAACAATCATCGTAACCACAATGAGCGCCCCTTGGAAATTAAAACAACTTATGTAATACCAGACAAAAAACTCAAGTCTTAAAACGTTCAACATTTTAATTTCCTACCTACATGTAGCTCTGGCAATTCGCTGATCGACTCTCGGGTGTACATGTAAATCAGACGTTAAATTCTAAACATGAAGATCTGGTGCAAATTTACGGGTTTACATGACAAATGGGATTTGAAAGAGATTTGACTTGGAGCACACAGCATAACTAGGAAGCTTGACTGAGACCTGCTCGATGACTGATTGTGAAACATTTTCAATAGACACATTTACAACAAGAAAGTTAATCTGTTCAACTCAAGAATAATTATTATTGATTACAAACGTAACTAACCTGAACAGTTCATAATCCGTAACTCGCTCCCTATCCCACAAAAATCCACCAGCACCAAGAAGGCGAATGTCCCGGTTTGCCAACTGGTTTTCGTAACTCAGATTTCCTTCTGTCTTCTCTGCATAAAAATCTTCGCAAAAACCTTTTCTTCGTTGCTTGATGCTCTGTCTCTGAAGCAAGTATTTTTCTCTTCTTTCTCTCATCTGCTGGCATATTTCATTAACTGCGGAACTCAAACTTTCCAGATTAAGCCGAAGAGGCAGCGTGTCTGCTCCTTTTGGAAAAGGGAACTCGACTTCACGAATTCGCTTGCGAAGTGGATGATCGAAGCCAACATTGCAACGAACAGCAGCGCAGAACTGGGAAGACTTGTAGATTATGTACGGCCCTGTTGCTGCCATTCCTTTTCTCAGATAAAATGTGAGGATCGTTCACGGTAAAGAACCCAAAAGATGGTAAAAGAACGAGTGAGATCTCCTACACACAGCCGCCATGTTTACATGTGATCTTCGAGCCTCATAGTGGCGGTGTGTCTAGTTTCGCGGTCAAAGTTCATCAAATTTCCACCAATGCGCGTTCGTTGATCACGTGTAAAAGGAACCTTACCGGATGTTAGGGGAGGACAGAAGGCGCATATGTGCGCACAGACTGAAATTTCCTCTCGATGAAAATCCAAGTCACATTCAAGCAATTACGTGGAGCTAGTCATTGTTACGTCATAAAGGTAGCTAATTTTCATGCGCTGGCTGCCTTCGTGGCAATAACTGAGCTACATCTTGAAATATGAGCGAGCCGTTTTCTTCATCGATAAGAAGAGGTAATGTACGTACGCGAGGGGGATGAGTTTATTTGGCTAGTACCCAGGAAGAGATAAATTGTTTCTTAGAGACATGTTTACATTTTAATCATACGATACGACTACCTGTACTTTTTCTGCTTCTTCTTTTTTCGTTTCGTTATTTTCAGCGTCAATAATCAGAAGTAGTGTGTAGTGCCACTGGAGATGATCTGTTAAAGTCGGAATGGGACTGAAACAGTTTGAAGTCCCGTCATCCGATGCAAAAAGCCGGCTCTCTTAGCAGAAACCCAATAATAAAACATATGGGCATTCTGCAAGAGAATTGGGCATGTCTTCGGCTACTTTCTAGATCATGGTGAAAATAAATTGGTCCTTTTTTTGGAAATTAGAATGACCCTTTTCACGAGAAGTATGGGTGGCTTTTACAGACTAGAGCTATTTTATGGCTAATTTTTTTTAGCTCTAGTCCAATATTCAAATAGCTTGTCCAACATTAAGAAATCTGGTTCAAATTATCGAAGGTAAAATCTGATGGGCGATGCGTTCCGATATAAGTCACATAGACATGTATGGCCCTAAGTGGTATGATTATTGAGCCATTTTGTTATGAAAACTATTTCAGTCATCCACGCCAGAAAGAAACAATTGGCTGACTGTCATTGAAAAACTCACAACGGTGTATCATGAATAGTTTAAACAAAAACAGAATGGCTTCATTTCCCACTTGCACCATGCAGCGTTAGTAGAACTCATGTGCTAAGAATAACAATGGTGGTAACGGAATTTCTCTCATTGTTGGTTCTTCCAAATGGGGTTATATTCACAAAGACCCCATAAGGACCGTGCCGAGCAGTTCTTTTAATACCCGTTAATCTAATGATAATTAAGAGCTAAGATAACCCAAACCATCAAATGGGTGCATTTCCAGCTAGCCCTGTCTGCATATTTTTTGGTAATCGTTTTTGCAGGTACCTGTACCTGAATTACTAAGTTGTTTATTCTGGGTAATGAAAAGGATAAGGCACCCCTCTGTGCATTCATGACGAGATCAGACTTTAAACAGCATGTGGTTAAGATGCGTGCTTTTCCTTAAGAAAAAACACAATGAAGCAATCTAAATTATATCAATCTATTAAAATGTAAAAACAAGTTGAAATAGAGCAATTGAAGTAACAGCGAGTCCTACAATGTTACTGATGGCAATGGTTTCATCAAGAAACGGATACCGCCATTAGCCGTATACTAGGTAAGTTGTTTCTTAGATATACTGATTTTTGGTTTGAAACAATACAGAAGGACAGCAGAGGGAGAAAACATATAGCATTATCACTTTTGATTCAGTCCAAATATGATTACTCTGTAATTTTTTGTCACAAGAAATTGCACAACAGTAAAAATCATCTGAAAATCGGCGCAAGGAGTCGTGGAGGTACTTGACTAATGCGTTAAAGATGAGTTGATACCGATTTGAAAAGGAAAAAATTGGAAACTTTACTCTCAAAGGAGAAAGCGGATGAATGAAAGAAAAAATGTTTACGTTAACGTATCTTCGTACGTATATGTAAAGGAGCGGAATATTTGGCAGTTTTTGGTCATTTAGTATGGTGAGATAGATAATTGTTTCGAAGACGAAAAGGGGTTTCAGTCTGCTTGATCTCGGTATGACAGGTTAACATAAAATAAGTAAAGACAAGCTCACAAGTAACGTAATGTCTGGGGAAGAAGAGGATTAATCAGGATAGCATTTAATGTAAAGTTCAACAGTAAAGGTAAATTTGCAAATTAAACGAACGGTGACTTATTTCAACTACAACTTCCCGATGGCGAGGTCATAGCCGGAAAGCTAGATGACACAGACCATTTTAAGCTTGGTTTCAGCGCTAGTCTTCTTGTTTCGATCTTAGTATTACATGATACAAGAAAAACGGATCGAGACATCAAGTCAGAATGATTCATGCATGCATGCAATTTTTCCATAGCCAAAGAAAAGATAGCAATGTATATTTTTGGAAATTATTTCTGTGCTGGAACCGAAAAGACCAGACCAAACCATATCTGGTTATTGTGAAAAACTGTAGACTGAGTTGATCAGTTTTTGCTTTCTTCAACGAACCAACTATTATTCACCGCACTCTGTCAAACTGTTATAAAATCCTGTCCTATGGAAAGTCAAACATGAAGTAGGACTTTTAGCATGGAAGCTATCCTACTCAATATTCAAATTATACATACTGCACTCAGCCCTGGGAACCCTTTGGGAGCCTCTGGAGGGCTTGCTAGCAGGCACTACAAAATGTTTTTTATGTTGATCGGTTGAAGATGATAAGAACGTCGCAAGCACGATGTTGTGAATACATTACTGAATAGGCGACTGCAGGTAATATCAGTTCTGAAGACAATGCCTCCAGAGATTTTCGCACATGCTGTTCTTTGTTCCAGGTCGCCAATCGACTTAATCGCCATTTGTCATGCAAAATTTTCTCTCTTGCAGATGCGGCTTTTCAAAGACTGATATGCATTGATGTACAAACCTGCTTTTAAAAACCAGTTATTTAATTACAATTTTGTACGTGAAAGAATTCAGGAAGTACGTATGATCTAAATTTCAAAGCTCTTCAAAGTAGTCTCCCAATTTCTCTTTTGCGAATGACATAACAATACCTTTGGTCGATGACTAAGACTATAGCAATATATTAGACATGCTACATGTTGGATGGGTTGATTAATGATCTTGAATCTGTTTTGTTTTGTTTTCTTTTTTTCAATTTGTCGTATTCAATCATTTCATTGCGAGTTGACTGTTAAACATTGATATTATTAGATGAAAAGATCGTCCTTCGCCAATCTTATAATCATTCGCCGAAGCTTACGACAATTCGGTGACACAACAGATATTCTTTATAAAACTACAGGCCTGGCCGAAAATTTATTCGGTAAGTTCATGAGACTTTTGATCTTCAATTCGTAGTGCTTGAAACTAGCTCAATGTACATATAAAGTTCTATTTAATCTTCACAATTAATACTTATTGACGATAAGGGTCATTTTAATTATGAGTTTAAACTAAGGACTATCACTCATGTTGAGGAAATAACTAACCTAGTGATTTATACAATACCTTGACACTAAATGCGTCTTTGACCGAGACACGGAATCCAGGCGAGGGTATAAATTCTCTTTTGATAATACTTCGACTCTAGAATTTCTCAGTCTGCATCTTTCTCGGAATTGAATCGTCTGATATTAGTTATTAAGTTGGACGTTTTCGGACGTAAACAGATTTTTTTCGCTAAAAAATTATAACGATTGTATACACTGGCCCGATTTACACTCTAGACGGATCATCCGTCTAGGACGAGCTTGGGCAAGGAACGGTAGCTCGTCTGAATCCGTCTGTGTATAAACACGGGCAACCAGTCGGATCATCCATCCAGAGCTATCGCGATAGTCTGTCTTCTCAGACGAATTATCGTGGATAACTCGTGAAGACGGATGATTCGTCGCTGTGTATAAATGCGGGAAGAAGACGAACTATCCAAAACTACACCTCGTTACAAGAAGCCAGCGGTTGTTTTCAATAAACTATCAATTCAAGATGGCGGACAAGTTAAATGATGGTTCGTACAAGCCCAGAAAGTCAAAAAAAGAACGTGTATGGACGAATACAGAAATGAAATACCTTGCGCTTTTGTTAGCAGAGGAGAAAAAACACTTGTGTCATTGCCGCCATTTCGAAATTTTCCGCCATTTTGAATTTTGCCGCCAATGCGGCACTAAAACATTTGACTAGGGCCCAAGCCTTTTCGTTATGCTTTCTCGGAAATCCGTTCAGAAAACTCGTCCAGTACAAAACACGGGACGAGTCACACGACAAACCGATAGTTCGTCTCATACTCCTTCACGTATTTATACTAGACGGATGATCCTTCTCGACGGATGATCCGTCTGGACGGATGATCCATGTCGACGGATGATCCGTGTGGACGGATGATCCGTGTGGACGGATGATCCGTGTGGACGGATGATCCATCTCCAGTATAAATCGGGCCACTACTATGGTGAACAAGAGACACTTGAAAACCCGGAAGGCTGAAAAAGCTGGAAAATATATGCACAAAAAATACACCTAGCTAAATTTAGCTTGGTTTAAAAACACTACAATTACTTCCATTGTCAAAAACAATTTTCTCCTAAAGTGATAACTTGCCATCCTTGATGTGTCTTTCAGTATGAAGCAGATGGTGTTTTGCTAGACGACTTCCTTTTAACACGCAAGCAGCGTTTTATCACGTACAGTATTGAATTGTATTGTATTGAGTTGAATAATTCAGCTGGACGAGTAGGCTGATGAAACTACCCAAAAAACTACTCGCCAAAGTGTAACTTACAAAAACTCGCTGATGTGTAACGAGTACGTTTAAGAGTCTACAGAGAAATTTTCGCTGTTTTATCGATGGCTAACAACTTTTAATCCGACTTAAATTCACTATTCATATTTTTAATCTGAGGGGGAGCGTGAATTATGCTGTTTTTTGGGTAAGTGTATGAAGGCATTTCTTAGCCAACCGTGAAATGTCCTATCATCACTTAAATATATCAGTAAAGTACGTGTGCACAGCGGTCGTGTACTTTGGGATAATCAATGTGGCCAGTGACTTCACTCGACCTTATTCGAGAAAAAGAACAGCCACAAAATGTAGATAAACACGAAAGATGGGGTGGAGAACTCGGACAGGTCTTCAATAGAAACTGTCTTCAATCGCGCGAGAAATAATCGTAATTTGAAATACAATTAAGGGTTAATCACGTGGGTCTTACATTCTATATAGGGGTGGCCGAACTCCATCTATTCACGAACTTCAAATTTTCTCACAGC